CATAAATAGGTTTAAATATTGCCATGGCAGTCCAAATTTCTTAAATCAAGGATTTCCACGAATACATCATTTTCTTCTTGATAAGCAGTTTTATCTCTCTTATTCAAATAATGTATTTCTAATTCTCACCATATTCCAATACTGACATCTGCTGGAGCAGTGTGTTGCATCAAGTCACTCTTCAATGTTAGTGTGAATGTGCTTATGTTTTAAGGCAATGTATCTGTCTATGTGTGTGGGTATGAAATACAGGGAGGAGAAAACATAACTATTGTACCTCATTACATTTTTTTAAGAAAGCACTTTCAGACAATTTAACTTTATATCTAGATTCAGATATATAAAATCAAAATATAATGTGGATTGTTTATGAAAGAAAACACAAGAAAAAGATTCTCAGGGATGGAAGAAGCTGGTTAACATAGTCTGGACTTCAAATATAAACAGGCCTAGTTAAGACGTGGGTGAGAGATGAGGGCTATCAACTAGAAAATCAGAAAGCATTCTGAAAAGCAACAGCAAGCAATTTCAGTACTGTTGGTCCCCAAACAGTAGGCTTATAATCACCAGAAATTTAACAGAAACAGAAAATACGACCGTCTGGTGAATATTCATGGAATGAATACTGGGAAGATGTTTGTTTTAAATTTCAATTTTACATCTATCCAGTAAAGAGCAAAACTAGGATTGCTGTATGTAATAAACTGTTTCCTGTGTACAGTGTCACCTTGTATACTTTTGTTACAGTTGGGAAGTTTATATTGGAAATGAAAAACCAAATCAAACTAAGTTTTTTTAAAAAAAAAACATTTAGCTGTAAAGAGTTCTATTGTATTTTTCTTGATGTACCCGTTTACCAGTGTTTATTTTAGTATTTTTTTACATGATTAGATTAGAACATAACAGTAATAGGTAACTTTAGGCTCTTCTCTAAAAATCTGTTAGAACAGATTCTGGCCAATGATAATAGTTTATGACTGAAATAAACAAATAAGACAATAGTTTTAAAAGGAAAGATTTCTGTTTATTGCTCTAACAGAACATAATCTTCCATGTGTTTATTCAGATATTATGATATATTCCTAACAATATAATACTGTGCTCAGTAGAGAATGCTTCTCAGTATGTTTTGAAATCCCAGCCCTGATATAAATGGATGGTGTTGCAGAAATAAATAATATTAGCACACAATTCTGTTATCATGGGAACAAGAATAAATTGTTTATAGTGTATTGTTTATTTATCAGCTGCCTTAATTGCTGAAACAATATATGATGATATACAAAGACAGGAAACAATTTAAAACAGACATAAACATAGCTATCACTAAGAAAAATATAGATCAATCACATCTGGGGGGAGCGAAGAGGGCTGGGTGACAAAAATGGTAAAACAGAAATCTCCAAGTATGATCACAATTTATCATGTCTTAGGGTCAATTGAAAAAGCCAAGTCTTCAAAGCTTTCTGGAAGAAGAGGGTGAGAGCCATGGAAACTTCAGGGGAATTCGTTCAAAGGGCACAGGTTGGTTTTATGGCTTGCCATTCTGGTTTTAAAGCCAGATTACTTTTATAGTTAAAGCAAATATAAATTCTAAAGCTCAGTAAAGCTAAACAATTGATTGATGCACTATTTGGATATTGTCACACATGGCTCATAGCACAATAAGCTCAATGAAAGATGGGCATCTTTTATTTTACCTTAACTGGGGTAAAATTTTCAAGCTAGTCTCAATATTTGAAGACTTAATGGTTGCTTTCAACTTGGCAAGGAAGTGATTTGCCATTTTCTTCAGGATTTTAACTTTTTAAAAAGACTTCTCAATCTAGTGGATGAAGAGGAGCCTCCAGGAGTAAACAGAATTAAAATTAAAGATATTTAAGATGGAAATGAAGTCAGGTAACATAGGAAGGAGTATTTTAGATCTGTATGTGTATGTATGTATGTTAGTGATATATTGAAGATTAGAATTAAAACATATATTAGTACTCAAAAACATGTGAAAATGACTGCGTATTAATAGCATTCTTTCCCACTTTATCACTATGAAAAATGGCAGAAGAAACATAAAACCTGAATCAAGTAAGAATGAGATAGCTATTATTTGTGCATCATAAAAGAAGAGGAAGCATCAAGACTAAATGGATGATGAATGTGAATTGAATACAAAAGTAATTAGTCTGAAAATTGAGGTAGTTTTAATGCTATAGAAATGATTGACTTGAGAAACAAATATAGGTAGTCCTTATTTACTGACAGTAATTGAGACTGGTGATTCCAAGGTGTGATGTCATGTGATCATGCCAACTTAAAACAGCTGTTCTGCCAGTTCCAGTTGTCATTGTTAGGCAAATCTCACAGTGCTCTGTGGTCACGATTATCATTTGAGACCTCCTGTAGGCTGCCCATTGACTTTGCTTGTTGGAAGCCAGCCTGTGAAGGTTGCAAATGGCGATTACATGACTGTAGGACACTGCCAAGTACTTGAATTATGACCATGTGAGTGCAGGGATACTGTGACAGTCACCATGATGAGGACTCATTGTAAGTGCCCATTGTTCAGTACCATTGTAACTTTATACATTTGCTGAATGAGTGGATATTAAGTAAGAACTGTCTGTATATGAAGGAAAATCGAACTGCTTAAGAGGAAGTCTAAGAAAATCATGGCTGGGTCAGGGTCAGAATAATATCAACAAAACAAGGTGAAAAGTACAAAAAGTAATATATGAAGAGGTGTATAGACTGATTCCTATAGTTGTTATTTAACATTGTTTGTGTGCGTACGTGCATACAGTTGTTAGTGAAGCAATGGTACAGTGGTTATATGTAAATACTGGGTGCAGACTGGATGAAAGGGAGATAGCAATGAGCCATTTAATGTATCTGGTAACTTATCTTTGACTTATCAGTTCATTTAATGACCGTTCAAAATAGCAAACAACACTGAAAAAAGTGATTTATGTCTGTTTTTCAGTTATGACCTTTGCAGCATTCCCCATTATCATATGATCAAAATCCATGTTTGGCAACTGGTTCATACTTATGATCACTGCTGTATCCCAAGGTCATGTGATCACCTTTTGCAACCTTTTGATAAGCAAAATCAATGGGGAAGCCAGATTCACTTTAACAACCATAACTTATCAACTGCAGTGATTCATTTAATAACTGTGGCAAGAAATGTCGTAAAATGGAGCAAAACTCACTTAACAAATGTCTCACTTGACAGAAATTTGGGGCTCAATTGTGGTAAATCAAGGACCACCTATACAGGTAGTCCTTGACTTGCTACCTTTCATTTAATGACTGTTCAAAGTTATAACACTATAAATTGTAACTTATGACCATTTTTCTCACTTATGATCATTGCAACATCCCCTTAGTCACATGATCAAAATTCAGACACTTGGCAACTAGCTCATATTTATGAAGGTTGTAATGTCCCAGGCCATGTGATCACCTTTTGCAATTTCTGGTGGGCAAAGTCAAGGCGGGAAGAAGTCAGATTTAATTTGCAACAGTGTTACTAACTTAAACACCTTCAGTGATTCACTTAACAATAAGTCAAGAAATCTAAGTTTGGGCAAAAACTACTTAAAAACTGGAAATTTGGGGGTCAATTGTGGTCGTATGTTGAGGACTATTTGTACTTACATACTATGAGAATATAGCCACAGGTTAACTCATATACAGGGCTTATAAAGAAGCAGCACATTAATCTTTTCTAGTAGAAGAACCAGAAAGGAATGATTTCACTTTTATCTGTTGCTTTTGAGCACTCTCAAAATCTAATAAGGACTCAGTAGATTTTGAGATTTCAAGGAGAACCATAGAGCAGAACAAATATGTTCTATTGAGCAAATGGGTTTATGCTTGCTAACATTGGATCCTACCTGGTTCTTCCCTTTTACCCAAGAAAAGTGGTATTTATTCTTTTATTCACCAGAAGCAGGTAATAGAAAGAAATAGAGATAAATCAAAATGGTTTGAAATCTGAAGTTGGGGAGTCTCATAAAAACAAATTGTTGAAAACTTTGAGGCTGTTTAAAACTTGAAGTAGCTATTTGCATCAAGTCTTCTCTTTTTCCTTTACTTTATTTACAGATAAAGTACAGGTATAAAAGAACTTACAGAGTGTTAAAACTGTGTTTCCAACCTTCAATTGGATGGACTAGTGCATCATATCTATCTATCTATCTATCTGTCTGTCTGTCTGTCTGTCTGTCTGTCTGTCTGTCTGTCTATCTCATGGTTCAAGATTCATAGGGTAACAATTTTTGAATCTATGTACCTCAGATGGGCTTACAGAATATGTCCAAAATCTAGGACCCACAACTCCTATGGTTTGAAATTTGGCAAAGTTGTGGTCATATGATCATTTCCAACACACTCTACTACCTCCTACAAGGAAAGTCAATGGGGAAATTGGCAAGACATCTGAAGTCACTCCTGCTCCCAGTGGTTTTTCACCCACTTATGGTCACTGTGTTTCTCTGTAAGGGTAAGGAAATCTCTCTGAAACAATGACCCAATGGGTCACAGATTGTCTAGTAATAAATAATTCATGTTATCATTGTGTTTAAAGTTCTACAGAACTAAGAGACCACAATTTTATGGCAATATTTTATGAACATTCACGAGTTCACTAGAGCTCCTGTATCACCTCCACGGGTCTCAAGATCAGTTCATACACTTGGGTTCACACAAGGGTATTGCAACACACTATCATGAGTAATAATGAACTTGCCAGTGAACTCAGTCCTACTCAGAAACAGAATTGACTATGAGTAATTGAGAGACATGTGTGGTTCTTCACTATGTGAGTGTTAACATCATATTTGTAGATGCCTATACCAAAACCTAGACATCAGCCTTTACATAGTGAGCTGTACCAATAGAGATGGTGCCCTCCCTTGCCCCAACCACAAGTGAGAATGACAGTAAAGAAACCCTCTTCTCCCAAACTTGAAAACAGAAAAAAAGATAATTAAAAGAAATTTTATTAGGGCAATTTAACTTTATTTTTTTTTTCATACAGCTATAGCAGTAATAATAAAATAAGCTTAAAAACAAATTGCAGCCCAGGACAGAATACATAAGTAGGAGCAACTACCAAGCAAATTTAAGTCTGTGATTACATAATAGTAAAAACCAAGCACACCTGTCCTTTCAGCAGATGAAAGTTATAGGGTTGCAAGGAAGTGCAACATGTACTAATTCATCAATATGAATTATGAGACAGAATAGATCCAATCATTGGTTCCCTCCCCCCTCACTTTGGCTTCATGTAGTACATGGTTTGTCAAGTGCTTTAGATTAAAAATGGTAAATTTGAAAGGGTATTTGTTTTTCACCTGCTAAAAGAACTGATCACTACAGCAATAAAAATAATTACATAACAACTACAGCTATGATGGTTTTGTTTTGGTTTGCCTGTTGACATTTTTAAACTTTAGTGTGCATGTGAAAGTCAATATCGCTTTCTCTGTGTATGTGTGTGTGTTTACGCTAGTGTGTGAATAATAAAACTACTGAAAGTTTTCAGAAACTGGTTTGAATAGAATATATATTTTATATCTATTTATATTTTCTTTTTCTTTCTCTCTCTCTCTCCTTGATACTTGAAACATGCAGTAGTTGTTTTGAGTAATGTAAGACATATTAGATCCATGATTTACCTTTAATGGTTGGAAGTACCTGTTTTTCTGAAATTTCATTTTTAAAAAAATAATTTTTATTTTTCTTGTCTCATCAGAAATGATCTTCAGGCAGATTTAGACCAGTGCAGCTTTTGTTAGTCATGAGAAGGATGGCCAATCTTTCCAGCTGAAAGAATCCTGGCAAACTAGAAGCTGTTCACATAAAGCAAAGCCACTTTTTCAAAGGGGTATGGAGTGCTAATTCTGTGCCACTTTTTTGCAAGCAATTTTGTTCAGCCTGTCATTTTTATAAGCCTTAACAAAACTCCTTGTATTTATAGACATTTTTATTCAAAATAAGATCTTACTATTATACAGGTTTCTCTCTTTATTTTTATTTGACTATATACAGAAGTGCAAAAGGTCAACCTTCTCTCTCTATACTTTCCCACATGCTAAATTGCAGCATAATCATCCCTCAAGAGTATGCACAAGCACTCACACTTATTATAATTCTTGTTATACGTAAACTTTTTGAGTATTTGGATTATCAACAAAAAGTCCCTTGATCTACTGATTATGCAGCTTATTTATAAGAAGGCCTGATATTCAGGGATTTCAAAAAATATTTAAACAATATTTTAACATTTGAAATGGATACAGTAGAAAATAAATTTTATTCTAATATCTAAGAACTAGATTTTTTCTTTTATAATTAATTACAAACAAAATAAATCATCAAAATATTACTCAGTTGTCTGCCAGGATCATTTCAATAGCAACAACTTAACTTCTTACTTAACAATGATTATATAAGATATCCATATAAAAGATCTTTGTTCTTTTAATGAAAACTAGACAAGAACTAACAATGACTGATATTCTTACATTGTAATATTAAATCAGTAAAATATAAATCATTTAGTTAACAAGAATACGTATATTCATGACACTACAAGTAAATTCAAAACTGCATATGCTATGAAGAAAAAATATTTTTAATTTTTTTTCATATTTTGAAAAAAATGCATCAGTAAAATCTAATAAAACAAAATTCTATAAACTTAAATGGCATTCATCTGGTAATAGAAAATGAAAATGATCTAATAAATGTATGAAATTAAAAACTACCATTTTAACAAGGAAAAATAAGTCATATTCTCTAAAAGTAAGTAAACTACAATAACATGTGAAGTCACCTATACTTTCTTAACACGATTGAAATTACATTGGTATGGGTTTTAACCCGTAATGTAATAATCTAAGGCTTTAATAGATGTACAGTACAATCAGTAAAATCAACACATCATTCTTTTTTTTTTTAACTAGAAAGCATCTCTCAAGCATAAAAACTTGCAAGTAAACTTGGAAGTATGGAGAATTCTAGAACCGAACCCTCACCTCTCCCATTCTACGCGACGCTACCAGAGACCTGGCCCCCACCTTGAGCTTTGCTGAACAGAGCAAAATATATCCTTTACTAACTGCAACATCCAAACCACACAAAGGATTTCCTTTGGATGAATCCATCTTAAAAACTTGAATGCACATCTATTTTTGTTTCAATTTGTAAAGGCTTTCTAAGGCTATAAAGCAGTTAAATCTCAACAGAAGAAATCACATATAAAACTCACCCGATATTTAACCCACCCAGCACCTACTCTAATTAACATTTTCATTGATCGTTGATTATTTTGGTTTTCTTTTTAATCAGGCATCTGATGTCAGTGCTTTTTCCATGATTAGAGTCACATATTTTTTTAAGTGTGTGACTTTGAAGTGATGCATTGGATCAGAAAAGCAAAACCCATCTCCTTCAACACATTTAGAGTCACTTGGACTTTTGACAGAGGTTAGAAAATTGAAGCAAAATAAAATTATTTAGACTTTTTCTAATATTGTCTCAGAAATGGCTCTTCCCTTTTTAAAATATTGTTTGTTATACAGTATACTTTGCAAAAACTATTGCAACTATAATGGTTTATAATAATTTATAGGTTTATATATCCAGTATGTGTAGGAATGATCCATATATATCCACTCTTATTTTTGCTTTAAAAAAATAACAAAAAAATGTGCTGTCTATTATTAACTGAGGTGGCCATTTCTGAGACAGCTTTGGTTTGAAACGGAAGGGTGCCCTTTGACTGATTACCTACTAGCAAAACAAGCAAAAATGTGGCTCTTAAAGTAACACTGAAGAAATAATACTCTACTTTGATTACAGTCTATGGCACTTCATGAAAATCTTTAACAACATGGTACTTAAAGCCATTGATGTGCTTTAAAAATATACACAGTTGTGGTTTTACTTGGCACATTCATCTCTGTCAGATACCTCTTTTACCACTTCTTACAATCTATTACATTTAAAAATATTACTCTTAAAACAAAAAAGGAAAAAATTATACTGTGCATGCACGGTCTCTTCTATAATGGCAATTTTAAATACAAGGTGCACCTTTTGTTATTTGTAAACCTTGAGATAATAAACTTACTTTAAAAATTATATCTTGGTCTACAGACGTACCAATACATTATAGATCTATGGCTACATCACAGTCTGTCTTTTCAAAATGACGTACATGATTATGTAGGAAAAGAGTCTACCAATGCATACGTCAGCTTGGTATGCATTGCATACTTGTGTGCTAGAAAAGATGGACAATGCTGTAGTCTTTACACTAACATTCTCCAACCTGATGCCCTTTAGCTTTCTTGGGTCTATAACTTCCAGGATTTATAGATCAACACAAATGGAGGGCATCAAGTTAGGGAAGGTTGTTTTAGACGATATGATCACCTCAGCACAAATATCTATTCAATGTACAAAGTATATAGGCAACAGTGTGCAGTGAATTTCCAAGTTGTCATTTCATCTTGTTAACATGCAATATGTGGATGTCTTACTGCTGAGGAAATTTGGGTGCTGTTATTTTACGGTATATACATTATGGCTAATGACCTGTCCTGATTCTTCACTCAACCACGCTGTCCTCTTCTCTGTCATATGATCTAGAAAAACAAGATTTTTTTAAAAAATATATCTTAAACAAGTAGTATATTAATGATTCAATCTAACAGAAATATTCAGTCAGAAGCCACTTATTTATATAAACATATATGTAAAAGCCCTTTGTGAAGACCATGTCCCCTTGAGAATGCTGGGAAAAATAGAAGAAAGGCCATCGGCAAGATAGATAGACTCAATTAAATACAGGGGGGAATGTTGAAAGACCTGAAGGACCAAGAGAGGACAGATCATTCTACATAAGTCATTTTACTTAGTTGCTAAAAGTCAAGACACATAATCAATTTAAAATATCCTTCTGAATAGTTTATGAGTTTATGATTATTTCCCCCAGCTAAAACTAAATTAGCAGTGAAGATATGAACTTTATATTACTTGTGACTAACTGCAACAACATCTACGTAATATTTCATTACGAAACATTGATGAATTCCATTTCTTCATATGTTGCTATAAAAATGCAATGGGGACAGATGGGCCATGGCTGACTATATACATGATGATCAACCACGGATCATTATGGTATGTCATTTATCCATGCATTAAAATTTTACATTGAGTGTTTAAAAAAAATCTTTCAGAGTACTTATTGATGTACTCTGGATACTGGGCCAATTAAAAATAAAATTTAAAGCATCATTCCATAATAGTATTTCTTAAGAACATAAAAAAAATCCCTCTTTGTAACCAATAAACATGTTCTTTAAGGAAACTTCTAGCCTCGGATTTCTGATTTGTTTGGTCTTGTCTATCAGAACCTTGAAACCCTCCTGATCAAATCAAATGGCTTTTCCCCCCCTTCCTGCATTATGAGCAGGACATGAATAAAATATCTATTTTCTGTTGCTGGCTAGCAAACATTATTGAGGCTCACATGACTATTGTAACCAGCAGGAATAAATAGCAAAATTCTCACTAGATTTGTCTAATGCTGTTTTAAAATTCCTTTGTCAACAAATTCCATAGTATATTCTTTCAGATTGCATGGATGAATCAAGGATATATTTCCTTCATTTGCATAAAACTGTTCATAAAAAATTAGGGCTAAACTCATATATAGATATATTTACCACAAATGCAGATGTATTGATGTTTGAGTAAGCATATAAAATAATATCAAGGAACAACACTTTAACCTCCTATACTTTCTGAGATGTCAACTGTTAATATTACAAGTATTTTTGTATCACTGAACTCAACCTGAGTCTTGGCAGTTTATAGAAAATATAAAAGATAAATTTAAATTTGAAAATATTTAATAGAAGAATTTAATGCAACAGACATCCAACTAGTGAAACACAAAGATACATATACAATCAACAATCATGTACAAGGACAATGGAATGCAAATCTTCTCAAAAGTATCAAAATACAATAGTATGCATTTGAGATACTTACTGTTTGATGATTAAGTGTCTACATCTGTGTAACATACTTGTGGCTAGTCAGATGTTCGGCAGATATTATGGGAATCTATTAAAAATATAAACTTTAATTGATATAATAATACATCAAATGAAAAACTGCAGAGCTATGTATCATGTAATATATGTTAACAGAAACATAGCTAGCAATTAAAATGAGAACATTCAGCTAAGTAGGAGATCAACCATTTTTGGCTGTTTAAAAGAAACAGTTAAACATTTACAGTTAAACATTCATGCAGTTCGGTCATTTCAAACACTCTTTTTGTTGGCCTACACAGAGATTATAAGAACTAGGGTTGTTTTAGTTTTCTGATTTTAACAGTTGCCTTCAGAAGCAAACTCTTGTCCTGTGCATTTTGCCTATTCAATGCAAAATTGAGATTATTATTATTGTAAAAATAACTGATGTCATTGACTGTTTAAAAAGAACGGAAATTCAAGTGAAGGGCTCAGCAGAATACAGCACTGGGACCTTGAACTACACCACGTTTCACACATTTTCTTTAGGGGTTGGTTAGAAAATCTAAATATTTGGCTATCCATAAGAACAGTTTCTTTTGTTGCATAAATTATCTGTTTAGTAATTAGAGCAATCAAGAAAAATCCTGCTGTAACAATACTTAAAGAATAGCATCAATTACCGTATATGCCGCCGTATTAGGCGACCCGGCGTATAAGACGACCCCCGTCTTTATAGCCGGGCCGCATTCCTAGAACATCGTCTTATACGCCGGAAACTACCAGTGTTTCCGGTGTATAAGACGACTCGGCGTATAAGACGACCCCCGTCTTTGGCGCCGATTTCAGCACTCGCGGAAGTCATCTTATACGCCGGCATTTACAGTATATCAGTCACCATAACAGAAGTTCTAAATTTCATCCTGCCCAACTGCCAACAAACATTTTTAACAATAAAAATTGCTTTATTTGGTGGTTGTATTTAATCAAGAACTGACTACTTTCAAAATGTATCTGTTTTGAAAGTACTTTGGGCAGAAGGCAAGCACTTTACCTTGCTAATTTCCTGTGATTGATCTAGAGGGGAATCTGTTATAAGTAGTAGATGTTCTTCCTCCAATTTCAATGGAGTGTGTGGATTATATTGCAAATCTTTTCATTGTAAAACAGCATATATATATGAATATTATAATACCTATGAATATTATAATGCCTGCTTGTATGTGTGTGTAGACACACACACACACACACACACACACACACACACACACACACACAAAACACATAGATTTCTCCAGGAGCTATTATAATATTCATATAGAAATAAATATAAGCTCTCAGTTTCTTGAGAAGATAATAGTTCACGAGCATTTACATCAAAAAGTTAAATGTCAAACAAGTTCAGATAGGATAAAAAACAATACATTCATAAAAGAGAGGCTCAGATCAGCTTCTACTGCATGATTTACTTACTTCCTGTTGGCTTCTAGTACTAGAGCACAGAAGTTCCAAAAGTAAACAAAATCTTCTAATTCAGCCCAATCCATAATATTCTTTAACTATATTCCATAGAAGCCTTCACCAATTTGACTCCAATACTGTCCAGATATGCTGGGTGTAATTCCCCAAATCCCCAGCAAGTAGAATTGGAATCCCCCAAAATCTGAAAGGTTCCAGATTGGGGAAGACTAATCTATACATTTCTAAATTCTCTTTTTGCACATAAATGTGTCCCAAGTGTAATGAAGCTTCTCATACCATTGGTTTGCTACTGCAGCAGAAAGAGATGTTGCATCCAGCTGTCTAGAAGCTTCAAGAGTAGTGCTGTCAAAACAGACCAAGGAGCTTCAGCGCCAGTCAGTAAAGAGGAAGGGGGCCAGGTCTCAAGTACTTATGCATGCATGAACATTGCATTTTGTGGCACTGCATTATGTCAGCATTGCTCATGTATTATATACATATATTGCTTATATATGTATATACAAAGAATAGGCTACAAAACTTGACTGGAGCGCATTATGAGGTTCCAGAGAGATATGCATGAAATGATCAAATTGTACAACAAAAACAAAACCTCCAGAATCTGTGTGGGAGAAGCCCTTGAAAAAATATGGAAAAAATATTCAGAATCATCTGTACAAAGAGACGGGGGAAAAGGAAAGAGGAATTTTCCTCCATCCTTCCCTCCCTTCTTTCCTTTCTCTCAGAAAAATAACATGTCTGATGACTAAACTTTTCATTATTAATGCCTAATGAATACATCCAGGACTCTTTTGTATACTATGTTAGTCACTCTTTTCTTTGCCGTAAATTAAACATCAAATTGCTATATTGTAAAGAAGATAGCACTTTTGTTTTTAAATCTTACTATTCAAAGATATCTGGAATGTGCTTTTACCTTGACCCCTTTGTTATTGGCATTATGTAAAATCACAATTAATGTGAAAACGTGTTATCTTGGTTTACCCAAAATGGAAAAGGGTTATCCTGACTTATCTAAAATGGAAAGTAGATATATCTACTTTATATATGAAAACAAGACAATCTGATGGTTGCTCTCTGTCAACTGTTTAGCCATCAAGATAAAACTTTGATTCATTTAACAATGATTCATTGGCCTCAGAAAAAGTGACTTACAACCTGTACCTGCATTTATGATTACCACACCACTCCCTATGGTCATTGGCTCACAATTTGGGTGCTTGGTAACTGGCTCACATTTACAACTGGCTGTGTCTCGAGGTCATGTGATCACTATTTGCAACCTTTTTTGCTGATTTCCAGCAAAAAAAAAATGCTCATTGAGAAAGCTGAATTCACTAAAGTGCCATCATCATCATCATCATCAAGTTGGAAGGGACCTTGGAGGTCATCTAGTCCAACCCCCTGCTCAGGCAGGAAACCCTATACCATTTCAGACAAATGGCTGTACAGTTTCTTCTTAAAAACTTCCAGTGTTGGAGCATTCACAGCTTCTGGAGGCAGGTTTTTCCACTGATTAATTGTTCTAACTGTCAGAAAATTTCTCCTTAGTTCTCGATTGTTGTAAAATAGGATTCAATTGGACTTATGACTACAATGACTTATGATGGAAATTCCAGTTGAATGGAATGTGTTTGTTAAGTTGAGGACTAATTATATCCAATTAATCAGTCCCTCCCAAATTCCTGCTCAGTATCGATGTTCCAAAACATCTTAGGGCGACAGTTTGGGCCAAGAAACTTGTATTATAGCGTGAGCTGTAAGCTATCCTGTGTCATAAGTAAAAATGTGTAATAAGATCATAACAGGCAATCTGGGCAATTAGGAGGCTGATGGAATTATTTTTACTTGTTTGTGGATTGTCTTTCCTATTTTCCAGCAGAATTCTGAAAATGAAATTGAAACCTTTTATGAGGGGGTGAGTGGGCACTACAATGTTTTATGATATTTCAATAGACCATGCCTTTTCCCATACATAAAGGGAACGAAGGAACTACTTATATAGTATGATTTTAGGACTGAGCTTGTAAATTCTCATATACTTCTTATCAGGTGGCAGTGTGCTTAAAAACACACAGAGAGAAAGCTTTTCTGTCTTTGTACTCCTTCAGTGCTGCATCTGAATAATTATCTTCTTGACGTCATTGAGGAACTTCTCTTCTTAGCTTACATTCCTTACATTTGTACGGAGGTAAACCAGGGACCTGTGTTCAGATGTACCACTTAATAAACCAAGAAAGATGAAACTTTTCTTGCTTGTTTGCTGCTTTGTTGATGAAAGAAGCCAACCAAGAGCTAATATACTGGCTTATTCTGACATGAAAACTAGTTCAATATCTAGTATGGTCCTAAGGTATAGTAGGAATACACCCAGTAGAATTTTCACAAACTTTCTTCTTTTGTAGGTTATATCAAGTTCAGAATCTTTATATTAATTTTATCAGCCTGACTTTCTAAATACATTCATCTATCATTTAACTCCAATTCTCCTTTTGGAGATAAAATTTGGAAATTAATTCACTTAAGCCTGATTCCCACCCACCCACTCTGATTTTTAAGGAAATAGATGTTAATGGTATCAAATTCTTCCTCACTGCCTGGTATTGGTTAGATGAAGATGGGGAACCACAGGACCCCAAAATACTACTTAAATACAACTGCCAGCAGCTGTAACCAGCATGACCATGATTGGGGATGCTGGGCATTATGTCAACAGTAAGATGATTAGAGATTCCTACTCATTCAGATATTGATTTCTTGTACGTGGTGTTCTTTATCATTTTAGCGCCTCAAGTTCAAAGATTCTAGTATATTAACTTTAATGCTCTGGAAGCTTAAAATTAAAGAGTTGTAAATTTGAGATCTGGCCTACTAAGTGGATAATAGCAGCATTCAGAATTCCAAAACGTAATACTTTCTAGTTAAGTTCAACAATTCTATCATCACCACTCAGCATTTATGCAATCTGGAGAACAGCATGTAGGAAGACTGTTCTCAAATATTTATTTACTTTCTTGTCATGTGTTTCTCTGATGACCTCAGCCAAGCTAGAGCCTTTCTGCTTCGGCAATCATTTTGTAGAAAATAATACTGGGCTACTTTAAAGGGATGGCATTTGTAGCTTAAGTATACAGCATACATTTAGAACATCCTTTAGTGCTTTGTGTTATATCAAGCTTGTTTTACCATCGACTCCAGAACAGCCTCCAAAAATTGCCACTGAAATATAATTTTAATACAAAATGTATGTACAGAATGTATTTATGTATATGTATATGACTATGTATGTATGTATATAAATGTCTGTGTGTATACCTATTTAATTTAATTTAAATTAAATCTTTATTAAACTAAACCAAATTTAGTTTTTTTTCCCCTTGGCTCTGTCTATTTCTTTCTTCTGAGTCTGCCTACTCTTTCCTTCCCCAATTTGCCATTCTAGATTAGATATTGCCTTGGCTTGCAAAAAGTTAACTATTCCACATAGAAAAAAAATGTGATCTTATATCCTCATCTTTTGTTTCTATACATCTGTTCTTGTAACAGTGAACGTGGAAGTGGGGGGCAAAGGCATAAGATCTATCACATGTTGATCAATTCAGGAAAGTCTTATTATTGGAGAGCAGGGAGAGAAGCCCAATTAAGCTATGCTGCAAATCTAAAGAGAATGTGTAGGCCAACAAGAAGTATAAACCAACAAACAAAACAACAATAAAAAACCACAACCAAACCAAAATAATAATAATAATAATAAAAGAAATCCCCATGCTCCTTAAAAGCACCGATTCTGAGTTATGTTTAAGAAACAAAGCTGTAAATTAGCAAACCTGGTTGGCTGTGGCAGTTGCAGCGAAGGGGACGCTTGTGGCAGATGTTGTTGCTGCAGACACAGTGGCGGGCGTAGCGCCGTGCACCATGGGAACTTTTGGAAGGAAAACCATATAAGCAAACATACAGAAGAGTGAAGCAGTATGGGAAACCATGGCAAGAGGTGGTAAAATGGTAAAGTATGGTATTTATATCAGCAGAATAGCCATGGGGCGAGGTAGCGCCACCAGCGAAAAGGACATGCAACCACAGCGCAAAGCAGGGCAACATTCCAGAGAGCAGGTTGGAAGACAAGGTAAAAGACAAAAGGAAAGGAGAAAAGGGAAGGGAAAAATGCTCATTACCACTGAATAACCAAAGTCAATACAATAAAGTTCAACTATTTCATTTTAGACCCAAGAAACTACAAACAGCACTCTCTTTAATAGTTTGAAAATCTTAGGATAACCATATTCCCAATCCCTCCCATTATAACTTCTGATATTATTAGAATCTGCTGAAATAAAATTCTAATTCTGCATTTCTTGCATAAAATGTGTAACTGGCTTTTTCTGTTTTAAACACAAAATAATTTTCTAAAACACTGGAACTCAAAGTCCAGTCAAAATCCACCAGAGCTGATAAAAAGGGACGCGGAAAATGTGGCACAGAACAACTTGATAATGGTAGGAAGTAAATGGCTTCTAAGTAAATTGTGTCAATTAAATAAAGCAAATGCATTTAATTGACAAGTGTTAGTGCAAGGGAAGAAAAATGGTTTTTCACAGTAACTCTAAGTTAAAACCTAGTAGTGGATTTTGAAAGTCTGTGAGCTGCTAAACAGGTTTAAGATAATCAAGAAACAAAGCTGGCACCTACCAACACTTGTAGCGGGTGTCATGCACAATATTGAGCCTGCCCATCATGCATTGCAACAGGAAGGTGGATTTGCAAAGGGAAAAGAATTAAAACAACCCATCACACGTGTAATTAGGAAAATCTCATTTGAACAAAGAAGGAAAAATTGGTTATTATGGGAAAACAGTGGCATGTAATCAACAGCACAATCAAATCAAACAGCAAAGTGGTGGTAATTAGAACTAGACTTACATGAGCAGGGCAAGGAGAAAGCAGACTGAACTGTGTGTTGGTATTTTGATTAAAATGAACTACTAAGTTAAAAGTAGACACTAATAATGTAAGGAGAGGTTTCAGTTGTCCAATTTTGACATTTACTCATATATTGTTTTATATTAAATTTGATTTACAGGTACTTTTTATATGCTAATTCATGACTAATGTGGATGCAGAAAAAAGCAACACTGTAGTAGTGCCACATTAAGCTTTGTGTTTTGTGTGCTGCCTGCATCCCACAGATGGGGCTTGTTTGTGCAGACCGGTTGCTGGCATGCCGTGGACTGGTACCGGTCCACAGACTGGGAGTTGTGGACCCCTGTCCTAGAGAACTAACAGCTATCAAGATCTTGTTCCAGTGCCTAAGAGTTGTTGGGATTTGTTTGAAAACCAATAGGCTCAGATTTAACCCGAGAAAGACTAAGTGATTATGAAAGAGGAAGGTTCTCCTTCCAGTTCTAGGGAACTTTTAATCTTTGACTGTGAATGGGGTTGTATCTGGAAATTTCCTGAAATTCCAGGTCCTGCTGAGCCAGGAAGGAAATTACATGCAACAAGCTCAATGTATGCGCCAAGATTAAGAGGTCTTCCTTTGTAATGCTATATATGAAAGACCTTGGGAAACTGGGCCAAGAAATGCTACCAAGGAAACAGTCAGATAAAAAAAACCAGCTAGATAGTGGGTAGGAGAAGAGGCCCAGAAGAGCCCTTCCTAATTTCTTAGGCTGTAAATGAGACTTGTATTTTCAGACTTGCAAAGTTTTGTTATTGTAGCTTTATAATAGAGTAGAAAAAGCTCATTTGGTTGTGTTTCCACTATGGTCTACCTACTAAGACTGACATCAATTTTCTTTACAGTCATTCATGGCTTGGTTATCTCCCAGAACACCTCTACTGTAACACTCTGCAGATGTTGCTCTTGAAGACTACTCAGGAGGTGTATTTGGTTCACAATGAAGCAGTTTGCTATTCCCATGTATCATCTTGCTATGTGAACTGCAATGGTTTCCAGCTGGCTTCTGAGAGCAAATTAAAGTGCTGATTACCTTTAATGCTCTAGGGCCAGCTAAGGGGGATTGCTTGGCTCCTATAGTATTGGCATGTCCTGTGTTCTGGTTTGCTTGGAGTCCCATCAGCTAAGTTATGGCATCTAACAGGACTCAGGAAGAGGGCTTCATCTGTCAGAACATTTATTATTCAGAACAGCATCCTCATGGAGATTCATATAGCTGCCACTTTCCCTGCTTCATGAGCTTTAAAAATTTGTTGTTTTTATTCTTCCAGGCTTTGGGTCAGAGTGCTTGGACATAACCCTTTGATTTGTGAGCAATGAGGTAGTTGTTATGTTGTCTTTTGACAATGGTTCTTACTTGTGAAGCTACCCAGAATCATTCTGGAGTTAGGCAATCTAGAAATTCATAAATCAATTACCAAATAAACATAGTTTGAAGCTGCTTTAACTAATTTAGTACATTTAGATGAGACCTGTTATTGCAAGGAAATATCTGATCAAAGCATTAGCTCAATTTTTCCCCATTCTAGTTGTTCCCAGATATATTAGGATTTAATTCCCAAAATTTTCAGAGCAATAGAGGCTCAGAATTGCTCATATTGTACTCCTAACACATCTGGAAGCAGCCATATTTTTTAAAAAAATATTTTCTGGAAATAAAATCAATTAGACAAAATGCTATGTATTTTTTTCTATAGATTTCCCCCCTCTAGAATTCTTATACACGTAAAAAAATTCAATTAAATAGATATTAAAAATTATGGCTATGACGACATTGAACATTATCAACCAATATAACCTTACCTAGTTATCTAACATTTAAGTATCAATGTTGCTAGACTGAGTCTTGATATTCAAAGTGGACTTTAAATTTGAAATAATAATTTTAAAAATTCAAATAATATGCATTAATTCATTTAATTCTTGGGACAGAGGTGTCACTGTTAATTTGTTATTACTACTTTTGTTATTATTATTGTTATTCATAATCCATACAACTAATTATGGTACCCATGCAAGAATATAAAGGTCATTTTAGTTGACCATCATGTTCAAACTATAAAACTAATATATTTTCAGTTTTAAATGTCAGTCATCCTCCTTCTTCATGTCTGAAACCAACACACACTTTTGCGTAGAATGTTTAGCAAATGAACATAAGGTAGCAATGAAAATCTGTTGTGCTTTAACTTGCAGGAATGAAAGTGTAGGACCCCTTTGTTGATTAATCAGTGAAAAATGAAACGCCATCACTACAATGTTCACCCTGATTTCAAAAGATGTAAAACTAATTTATTACTCCAAACCAGTGGTTCTCAACCTTTTTAATGCTGTGACCCCCAACCGGTCATAAGTCGAGGACTACTCAACTGGTCGTAAGTCGAGGACTACTCAACTGGTGCAGCACCGTTTGCAGAATGGGACTTTTGGCGGGCTCAGCAGGGCAGAGACAGCCTGGACAATTCCTATTGGCTTTTGAAAGCCAATAGAATTAGACTCTATTCAAGAGAGTCTATTCTATTGGCTTTCAAAAGCCAATAGAATAAAAGGGAGTAGCACAGCTAAGGAAAAGGGGAAAAAAATGGTGGACTGCGTTGTTTGGCAACCCCCGTGAAATGGTCGTTCGACCCCAAATGGGGTCCCGACCCACAGGTTGAGAACCAATGCTCCAAAGCTTATCTTGCATTTTAGTTGAAGACAAAAATTTGAATTATAGTCAGTAAAAAATAAATAAATAATAATATAACAATATTTCACGACTAAGTACTTTTCTAGCACAATTCAGCATATGAAAAATATTATTCTCACTGGGCTATGCATATTATACTCACTTGAGCAAAGGGGTCTTACATCAGTTAAATATATGTGTGTATATAAAACAACATAAGAGGTGTAAAATGAAGGTTTAGAGAAGAGAGAAAAAAGATTTCAAATGCTGTTTTGAAACATGATTGCACACTTCAGAGATGCAGATTTTCAGATTATGCTGAAAAGCACCCAACACCTTGCTTCCAAGAAAACATATGCAGAATTTGCAGTTTAGCAGCCTCTTTGGGCATCCTTGCATGTTACCCTTCCTGTGCCTTCTTTTTATCATACTTAAGAATGAAAAGCCTAGCTAACCCATGGGAAATTATTCTAACGACCTCACTGGGGTCTTTTTCAAAGGATATGGAAAATGCCACATACCTGGTGGAAGGAAGGCTGTATGCTGTTGCAACTGCATGTTTGCAAGAGCTTGCTGATATTGGAAAATACCAGTATTAAAGACTGCAGTGGCACCATTGGTTTTTTCAAGCGCAGGCCTCTTTGGTAATGGGGGGAGTACAGCTTGAGGAATCCCCTATTGACAGATGAGGATAAGATAGCCCAGTTAAGAAGAAAGAAAAGAAAGGAAGGAAGGGAAAGAGGAGTAAAAAAGAGAAAGAAAGAAAGAAAGAAAGAAAGAAAGAAAGAAAGAAAGAAAGAAAGAAAGAAAGAAAGAAAGAAGGAAGGAAAATAGGAAAAGAAAGAAATAGGAAGGAGAAAGAAAGAAAGAAAGAAAGAAAGAAAGAAAGAAAGAAAGAAAGAGGAATAGGAAAAGAGAAAGGGGAATAGGGAAAGAGATAAATAGAGAGAAAGAAAGAAAGAAAGAAAGAAAGAAAGAAAGAAAAGGAAAAGAGAAAGAAAGAAGGTGGAGTATGGAGAGAGAAAAAGAGAGAAGAAATAGAACAGTCAGTATAAAATACAATAATTGAACACCACCATCTTTTTTTTTTTTTTTTTTTTAACATCCTTGAGCAAGCAAGCAGCAGAGCAGACTTTACAATTCAAAGAAAGAGCAAGGCCGAAGCTTTGCACGAAAGGTTTCTTACTGTCCTTTCAATATGGCATTGTAAGTGCTTGGGAACAATAAACTAGCACTTTTTCACTATAAAAAAGGTTCAGGTTTTAGTAAAGAAACAGGAATACCAGGGGGGGGGGGAAAGCTGCACTGCTAGCTCCATGAGGATTGATAAGTAAAAGCCATGTTAAAGAGAAATTTTATAGAGTGAATGAAAAAAGATTAATATAATATTAAACTTTACTCCCATATCCCCAAGTCTATCTAAACATGCAAAAACAAAACAAAACAAAGTACCAAAACATGCTTGCATTACAAATGTTAAATCTACATAAGAATATTGTTAAGCCATGCCAACCAAACAGATACAAATATATAGATCATATATATTTTATACATTTAAAAAAATCCTTTAAAAAAACCCATCTTACTAGATTTAGAAATGTCTACAAGGTGATTAAACTGAATGTAGAATCCTCCATCTTCAGGAGGGTTCAGGATGGCAAATAAACATTCTTTCCATCACCTTCCCACAAACCCAACAAGGAAACCACACTCAGTTTTAATTTGAGCTCACAATACTTTATAACAGGAAATAAGGAAAAATTACTTAAGAATTTAATTAAAAAATAATTTGTATCTACAGTAAAGCTACATGCCAAGCTAAAAGGTGAAAGGTCATAGTACCAGGTCAAAGGTTGCCTCGAGGGGTCGCTTCAGTGATTTGACAGCCGACTGAGTCTTAATTAGCAGGCAGCGAGCACATGATGGCAATGGGCCAGTGGGGTTCAAGCGCATTAACATAAACAGCAAGCAGAGGTGCATCATGGGGGCAGCAGTGCATTTTGGGTAGGTGAGAAAAAAACAAATAAAAAACAAATCATCGGAATGCCATATACAACGAATAACAAGACTAAGCATGCACAATAAAGGCACTATTGAGTTGTTATTGTGAGGATACACCTCTATGTAGTTAAGTACAAACAAGATATTCTAATGGGGAAGGGAAGGTTGAAAGAAGGAATAAGAGTGAGAAAGAGTCTCCTTTCTGTATTTTTGTGCTAATCTTCATAAACACAGAAAAAGGTCTCTCTCCTGTAGTCCCTTTCTGCACTGCAAATATTGTACCACAATGTTTCATGGGAATATTTAATGGTCAAATCATATAGTTATATAAAAAGAAATACAGGATAATGTTAAAGTAAAGGCAATTTCTTTAAGCTGGGCATGATTTCTGGTTACTTCATATCATTTACCTGACAAGAATTTAGAAGTAGGCCTTTTCCTCAGGTATTTTTTCAACTTCAGCCTACAGTCCTATGATTTCTTAGTAATGTGCCATCCAAATACTAACCAGATTGGTGTTTTCTATCAGCCAATGCTGGCTAAGAGCTAGAAACTAGGAGTATCACTTAACGTTAGCAGCCGTCCAAAGAGTAAAAGTGGAACCATTTAAACAGGATTTTCTTTTATCCCCCACCAGAAATCACAGTTTAGGCAAATGGTTCATTGTCTAATTTCTCCCAGTAATGTGATTGTGCTGATCCATGTCACAATCAAAATTCCAGTAATTGTATTGTAATAATTATAGTATTGTAATAGTATAATAATAGTTATTAATTATAATAGCTGAATTCAGAGAAGCACAATACACATGATTTTATTCAAGTTACTTTATAGTCCCATTGCTAGAAATGCGTGTTCTTAAATATTTCCATAAATTGCCCTCAATCCACCCCTTTCAATTATGTTTATTAAAGTTATTGCACATAATCCAAGTAAAAATCCATCTTCCAATTCCTAAAATTTCCTCTCTTTTTCACTTGTATCTTCAAAAGATTCAGAATTTCTTTAGAAATTCTTCTGTTGGTATTTTTGACCATGCTTTATTATTAGGAGGTAGTGGGGAAGTATTATTTGTCTTCCTTTTAAATATTTTTATAAAGCTCTAGTCTCCCAGGCTCTCGTGTTTCTTGGGTCTGAAAATGCCTCATGGAATGATTTCTGTCATGTCTGTCCTTGGGATTTCACCAAAGGATGAGATCCAGATAAACTGTGCATTTACAACATATGACTGCACTGAAAGGCAGATATTCAAACATATTCCATGGCCACCTCAAAACTAAGTAAGTGCAAGCATATCCCATGTGGAATTCTATCAACATTTTCTTTCCCAATGAAGAAAAATAAATAAATTTCTTTGCCTTTAAACTGAGACTGTTAAACGCGTAAGAAAATGAGCTTAGACATGTTTGTCAGGATATATTCTCAAATGCATACTTAGTGTTCAATTTCAATGAGCTAGATCACTAACACTGTGTCCTCCCATATGAAACAAGAGTGAGGTTTTGTTTGGTATATGTAAATTTTGGACATGTGTTGTTGCAAATCACCTTATACATAATAAACGTCAACAGACAGAAAAGAATAAGTCATCTCTAAAATAAGTTTGCAAACTGTAGCTATGTCCAGAATAATTAAACACTTATTTTGAGTTGCTGCTAGCTAAATGTAATCTAAACTATTCACTAAGCAAATTCATTTGTTTATTAAATTTGTTTGCTGCCCATCTCACTTCAAGGCAACTCTGTGCAAATGAATGTACAAAATGAATTCTAGGAGAGGGAAAATCTCTTCCAAGGAAAACAGAAGTAAAGGTAAGTCAGTATAAGATCAATTCTCTCAAAGATGCTTTTTCACGAGGCAAATGGACTTCCAGCTATAAGATCAATTATACAAAAATTTGCACCTCTCTGATGATATAGTTCTTTGCAGATGGAAATGGAGTACAAAAAATGACAGATCATGGGATCTACTGAAGAATGCATCAGTTCCTTGTGTAATTCTTTTGTAGCAAATGATGTAAAAACTTGCCAGTCATATGTTTATATGCATGCATATCAATAATATCGATGTAAGGTGACCCATAATAAATTACTGTTTCTCACTATGTAATATAGGCACAAAGCTAATATGTACATCTGGCATTTACATCTATGCACAATATACACATAGACAAACTGACTACATGTTTTAGTAGAATCTGACACTATGTAAGAGCAGACTTGGCATCACATGCTTGTCAGCTTAGTGAAGTGGAATGGGATACTCAAACCGTCCTATCTTTAGTAGGGAGGTTCAATTCATTAACAGAGCTCAGTGGCTGACAATGAGATAGATATATTTGATTTGTTTTTCTGGACTTACCATGGCTGCTGCAGTAGCTGCTGCCTGAGCAGCTGCTGCTTGATTGACCTGGTACTGGGCAGCTTTGATCTTAGCTTGCAGATGGGCTGGAGGGTGAAAATATTTGCACTTTTCCCTTGAACATCTCCCTTTGATGTAATCCATACAGACAGTAACAGTATTGTCGTTGGTATCAATCATTGCACTGTCAGCAGGGTGAGCAAACCGGCAATCATTTTCTCCTCTGTTACAGTTGCCACGCTGATACTCTCGACATACCTACCGGCAGAAAAAAAAAATGCAAGTAAAATTACTTCAGCAAAGAAACTAAACCCAACAAGCTGGAAGTTATTCTGGAACAACTGATAAATAATTCTCAACCACTCTGTTTTGTTTTACTTTGACAAGATAGCTTTGCTTTTTTATGCTTGGATGAGCTTCTTAATTCTCATTCTGATTGTTTGGCTTATGTATGTAACTCAACAGCTTCCCAAATTTAAAAGCAAAATAGTTCCAGTTCAAGCAAACTACACTAAGGGTTCAAACGAGTTAAATTTTTGATGTTATTTCTGAGAAATTCTTCTGAGAAATTCCCTTGTATTCAATCTAATAAAAGATAATCTGTTCTTTATGGTTTTTAATGGACAATATTTTGGTTATGTCATCATCTTGCATTTATTTAATATCCCACCTTTATTTTTTTGTAAACAACTCAAGGCAGTGAACATATCTAATACTCTTTCTTCCTCCTATTTTCCACAACAATAACCCTGTGAGGTGAACTGGGTTAAGAGAGATTGATTGGGCCAATGTCATCCGGCTAGCTTTCATCGCTAATACATGGCTGGATTAGAATTCATGGTCTCCTAGTTTCTAGCCTGGTCAACCACTAGACAAAACTGAATCTCTTTCTATTTATCTATTTATTTATTTATTGAGTTATTTGTTTACTAGATTTATCCCCATCTTTCCCCAAAGTCCTTACACAGCTTTACTTCACTTTGGTCTCTCAATGGCAATGGCAACCCTATGAAGTAGATTCGGCAGAGAAACAATAATTAAGTGGTCATGGCTAAGAATGGACTCTTAGGTTTTTCTATTCCTAATCCAACATCTCAAATACTTTTGGGTAGTGTATCCTTTAATATACAGCCATCTCTCCAGTAGTCTCAGAGTTCAATTAACATATCATGAAGCTTCAGGTTGTTGGGGAAATCTGTATAGCAGAATATAACAATAGGAATGGTCCTTCTACCACCTTAAATAATATGTTCAAAAACATCTCCAAGAGAAATTCCAAAGAATTTCTATGCATAGTGAAAATAAGGTAGAAAACAGATATATCTTTTAAAAAATAAAGCAACCCTTCTAAGAAATTGCAGTGTAGATTTTGACACAGCATTTTCTGAACTCTATTAGCTAGCTACACAAGACATCAGCTGCATTTATTATCACTGCTGTTCACAATTTCGACACATGAGGGGGCACAAGTATATGTAATTTTTTAAAATCTTGTTCCTCACTTCTAAAATTAATAGGTTTTTTCATTATTAAGATTAAAACTGTAATTTAACATGCAGAAAGGGTTATGATGAATATTTGAAAGTGAACCAAAGAAAATAATGTAATGTGAATATCACTCTCTTGCAATTATTTCAGACTTTATTGTGAATCATACTAAATGAAAGGTAAGCAAGCATCAATGAGAGGCATAAAAAGGTTTCCTTCAATCTGTATGTCCAAGGCAATCACGTCTTTTTCTTTCATTCTGAATTCAATTGCCCTCAATTCTCAGAAACTGCATGGTCAGTCCCTATAGCTTTCTTGACAAGGTTCTTCAGAAGTGGTTTGCCTTTGCCACCTCCTAGGGCTCAGAGAAAGTAACTGGACTGGCCCAAGGTCATTCAGCCAGATTTATGCCTAAATCTGGATTAGAACTCAGAGTCTCACTACACCAAAGTGGTTCTAATTAGGCCTTAAGAGGGAACAATCTGCAGCTTATGTTCTAAATCTCTTATAATATGCATTGATAAGAAAGACAGCCAGTTTGGTGTAGCAGTTAAACTGGGAAAAAATTCTGAAAAACCTCACCAAAGAAATTGCAAGGACTTATCTAGGCAGTCTCCAAAACGCAGACCTGATTGAAAGGAAGGGAGAAAAAAATAGAAAATGACATACTGATTTCATATCCAGTGTGAGATTTATGAAACAGGCTTCCTGAAAATTGTCTGAGATGGCAGATTCTCCTGAGATTGCCTTTCAGGCAGCACAGTGAATTGCAGTGTGCCAACCGATAATTATCAGTTTAAAATTTACATTGATTGCTAAATACAGAAGGGTATCTGACCATGTGTGAGGGGTCCTGTGTCTCTTAAAAGTCAGAAAGATGACCTTCACAGAGATGCATAAACTCTCTTGCCAGGATGATGGATTTTCCAAATCCAAAACTACCAGATAATACTTGGGCACAATTCATTGAATTCAACTATAAGGAGAAGGATGTAAAACACAATCAGACTTGCAAACCTGATGTTAGTCCCATTGGTTAGGCCAGACCAATCAATTTCTCAGGAAGGCTAACCTTAGTTTTCTATATAACAAGAAAATGGACAGACTGTAGATGGCCAAAGTTTTCTTAGATTCATTTCATTTCTGGGTTGTTAACTTGTGTTTGGATCCAAGGGGTGATGTTGACATCTGAGGGAGGAGGTAGTTTCTCTGAACTTAAAAGAGGCAGTAATATGACTACCTCTCAAAAGCGATGGACAGAGACAACAATTATGGAAAATACCTTATGTATCCAGTGTCCCAATTTTCCTTTTCATATCTTAGAAGAAATCCAGATCCATTTCACATCAGGGCACAGAATGGAAATAGCATAGATCAATCTTGCCAATGACATTTGGTAAACACAGAATGGGAGCAATATGATGGTGCTCCTTGATATAAGAGGATTTTTATATTGTGCGGATCTGCTATGGGGACTGGTGTGCTGGGCAATGGGTTATGGTGGTTCTCCTGCTTTCCCTATGGGTGGTTGACAGGAGGCAAGAGATTGGCCTATAGGACCGCATCTGTATTTGCTTTGAGGCTCAACACTTGACCCTTCTAAATCAACATGACTGTGGATATCTGGACTCTCCAAAATTGGGACTGTCCATCTGTAATCTTGTATGGGATTGAAATTCTCCATTTAAGCCAGTGTATAATCTGAGGATCTTCTTGAACACTCTTGATTGAAGAACACGGGGCAGCTCTAGCCAAGAAGGTCTTTGCTTATATTCATCTAGTGTGCCAGTTACACTTGTACCAGTATCAAGAGCTCTCCAGTTTATCACTCATGCTCTCCTCACTTCAAGAGTGGACTATTGGAATGTAATACAAGGACCTGTCTTGAAAACCATTTGGAAGCTACAGCTTGTTCAGCATGGGACAGAATGGGCAGATCACAGTAGCTTCACTTCCAGGTAAAGTCATGGTAGTGGTGACCACCATAGAGCCCTTGGTGGCATAAGATCTGACTAGTTGCGGGGGGCCCTATCCCTAGTAGTCTCTGTCCTTTGATTAAACAATATTAATCTTTTGGAAAGTAGGAAGCCTTACTTCTTTGTGGTAGCACGTATCCTCTGGAACAACCCACTTTCATGAGCTGTATCGCTCCAACCCTGATGTTGTGAAAGGTCTTGAAAATTTAGACATTCTTTCAGGCGTTGAGATAGGTTGGGTGAATTAAGAAGTCCTCTATAGTTTATTTTAAATCTATATATGTCTTTAATTTACGAAGTGTATTGTCCGTGTTATTATTGTTATTTGCTTCCAAAGCATATCCTTATGGACTTGGACACCCTATAAAAACACTGCCAATACAGTTCTTCCATTTGGGAAGGAGCTTTCCTTATGTTCACCGAAGTGAACATTACAGTGAAATGGACAATGAACTTGTCTACGCTTCTGGCAAAATCAAAACATTTAAATTCTGAAAACCACCGTTTGTACAAGACAACCAATCAATAAAGTAGCATTTTTGTTAGACTTTTGTTTCAGCATTTAGCATGAACCTGCCATTGTAGTGTGTAAATCATGATTTATCATGAATCAAGCCAAATATAACTGGTTCATCTAGTTTGAGGGTACTATGAATATGTCATAATTGATAAAGTCTTTGTTTTGTTTACAAGATAAATAATTTCTTTAGTTGGACAACTTCAGAAATAGTTTTCTATAGTTGCTTTATTTATTTCAATTAAATCCCTGTTCGTTCATATAGTTCTCAAATGGTTTCTTATCCATGTACTGTTTAACTTTAATAAAAGTTTATACAACTTCAACCTGTTCTCGATACTATAATGTAAAAGAAAGAAAGAAAGAAGGGAGGGAGGGAGGGAGGGAGGGAGGGAGGGAGGAAGGAAGGAAGGAAGGAAGGAAGGAAGGAAGGAAGGAAGGAAGGAAGGAAGGAAGGAAGGAAATAGTATCTCTCACTCTGTGGGATATCCAGAACTTTAGAGCATATTAAATAAACGCTAAAAATGCACTTTATGTCACTGTTCTCCAACCTGGTATCTGATCTTAACTATTTTAAAGTTACTTAACTGGACTGATTTGTGGAGCTATAAGGTTATCTCACTGCTTATTTAAAAGACAAACAGTGTGAAGTTGAACAGAATTCATACTACTAATAGAGACCACAATTCAGTTATATCAATCAGCTTTCTAGAACTGGTATCCTCAGAACACTCTAAAGATAGAAGGTTATATAGTTCTGTCAACTCTACAAATGAGCATGGCTGCAGCCAATTTTCATACTCATTTTCGGTTGCCACATAGAACGGAGAGAGGGGGGTTGCCAGGTGCTTCACTAGTCAAAATAATATTTTGTCCCAAGGTCATCGGCTGCTCCTGGGACTGCAGGCTTGGCGTTGCGTAAAAAACCCACCGAGAATATGTATTGGGGAACGTAGTTGTTTGCATAGTTCTATGGGTGGGATTTAACTTTGTATTGGGGAATTGTTTCGTGTTGTCTCCAGACTTGGTTTCACTTTTGGGGAATTTGCAAGCCTTGGAGTTCTACTTTATTTATCTCTGTCTCTGTCTGTCAGAACCTTGAAAGTTCCACAACAAGACAATGCTAACTATTGTCTGATCTCACATGTTGTGCTAAGTGATTTGTTTGTCCATTGCTTGTTGCACTATGTCTATTATAACAGCCAATTCTAATAATACCAGGCTAGATGGTATAATAATACAGAGTAAGATAGTTTTATCTTGGAATTCTGAGAATC